CATGCGGGGAAGCGGACGGAGGCTGCCACTCGGCGTTTCCCCTGCAAACTTTTCCAAATTCACCCGATCGTCCATATTTGCGCAAAAACACTTGCGGTTTATGATCTTTGGCCAGAGAATTATCTATGGCAGAGTTGGAGTGAGGGGAGGAGCTTCGTTGCATCTCGTGGAATCGAGTGCTTTGCCGCCACCTTGTGGCATCTATATGAAATTAAAAACCTCAATCGCTCACAGTGGTTTTATTTCCACAATTGGCATTTGTCGCTGACGGCGTAGCTTCAATGTGGTGACATTGCGCCCCCCCCCCGCGCCATGCCATGTCCGGGAGTGACCATGAAAAGCGTAAGCTCTCATCGCAGCGCAGGGCTCACCTTCCTTTTGGCTGCCCGCGGCCGAGACGCTCTGTTGCGACAGCAGGCTCTGGTTGTAGAGTCCCGGCAGGGCGGCGGCGGCGGCGTACTGCTGGATCCCCGAGTACGCCTGACTCAGCGCCTCCATGGTGCTGCCGGAGCCGTTGGACAGGCCTCCCGAGCCCAGGCCGCCGTTCAGAGCCGCCATTCCTGCTCGGCACAAAGGGCCCGGGTGAGCGCATCGATCGGACGCCGAGCCCGATAGCGGAAAATCGGCGGTGCGGGGAGACCAAAGAGAAACACGTGGAGAGGAAATGGGTTTGACGTTGCCACCGTGCCCGGCCGGCGGTAGGAAGAACACAAAGAAAGAGAGGCAGGGGCGCGCCGCAGATCCGCCGGACGCACGCTGGGATGCGCTACCTGCGAGCGAGCCCACGTTGAGGCCGGCTCCCGTGCTGGCGGCCAGAGACTGCAGCGTTCCCAGAGACGCGATGGGGTTGACGGACGACGTGCTGCTCGAGGTGGGCGACGAACCTGAGACAAGAGAAGGCCAGAAGAATCGAATGGAGAAGTGAGGCGGCACGCAAGTCCCGCGAGCGCTTTGAAAAGTGCCGACGCCGCCCCCCTCTTTCTCCGTGCTGTATGAGCACATGTCACACATTCACGCGTGCGGACTTTTTACCTGAGCTCGTTAGCGCACTTAGTGGACTACTTGATGTAGTCATGGCACTGGAGCCGCTTGCTGAAGCCTGGCTGGCGGTCGCTGCTGCCAAGGCGGCCAAGTTCTGCATGGCATTAAGACCTGATGTGTCCAAAGCGCGCGCGCGCCCCAGTCCAAAGTATGGGTGCTCGTAAACTCACTTGAACTCCTCCCCCTCCTCACAACACACACACACACACACACACACACACACACACACACACACACACACACACACACACACACGGCATCAATCACAGGATGCCATCTTTCTGGACAGGTTCGAAGGTACATTACCCGAGCTACCCTTTCCTCGACTAAAGGCCAGTAAGTATGTTTAGAAATTGCTGCTTTCGTTCACCGCGCATTTAGAACGTCCCGATTTCCAGCTTTTTCCTTCCTTTTTGAATTGAAATCCACGCAGTTCAACGTCTCCAACTCGAGAGCACAACGTATCCTTTTGATTTGGACTCCTCGGTGACTAGAACAGCTGAATGGTGAATACACACGTGGCTTGCTTTCTCCAATGCAAATCAAATGCTCTTCAGAAGGTTCTTCCCAGCCCCATGAGAGAAGGTGGCAAAAATGTCCACCTCTCTTGCATCCGATTCATCCCAAACGAGCCGGATGGGGTTTGAGTGCGGAGACTCTGCCTTTTCGTATGATTCGAAAACTTGCACGATTCTTTTGCGCGGGGTCGGATGCCGGCTGCGGCCACCGACGCGGCTGTAATCGGGAGGCGCTCGCGTAGCCCAATTTTGCTCATGGTGGAGGTCGGACGGGCATTCATTGGTGACGTGGCGTACCTGAAGCGGGGTGCAGGTTGCCGAGTGCGTTCCCCGTGGAGGCCGACTGCTGCAGCAGCTGTAAGTAAATCTGCACACACCAAACAGTCGCAGACAGTCCGTCATGACACGCAGGAAGGCCGGGCGACTTTGGGGAAAATCCACCGTCACGATTGTTTGGGACCGAGATGGAAATCAGCGTCGGCCCCGCGCAATTATTCGCTGAATTTAGCCGCCGTTCAACTCTCAAAGCTCACCTTTAAAAGAAGAACCGGAAAATGATTTTGGTATCAAAACAATGGCAAAAAAAAAAAAAAAAGGATTCCAAGTAAATGTCTGCTGTGCGTGCTTTGGCCTCTGAGGGGCAGTGTGCCGCATGGACGGGGATACACTCGCAAGAAGAGGGAGTCAGAAGAAAAAAAGCGACAAACTTTATGGACGGAACTGGGTAAGGAAGACGATAGGCTCGGGAGTACTGTCACATTAGCCGTCTGTACGCGTTCCCACAGACTGCGCGTGTGTCAAGTTTTGCAATTGGACGGTTCATCTCTCCCGTGCTAGCATGAAGCTGCCAATGTCTTGAAAAAAAAAGCATTTCTTGTATTTCGATAGAAAACGTGCGTTTACTTTCACGGGAAACTCTGACCGCGGCGTGAATGGAGCTTAAAGACGGCTTCCGGAAGCTACAAGAACACGATCGCCGCAAGCACGATCACGGAATGAGAAGAGGGCAAGGAAGCACGGGAGGCTTACGGCGAGGTACTGCGGCCCCAGACTTCCCAGCCCGGTCAGGTTTCCCCACATGGACGCGGCGCTGAGTTGCTGCATCTGCTGCTGCAGTTGAAGCGCCATGCGTTTCTGCTCCTTGTCCTTCTGCGTGTCGGCAAACTTCACCACGATGGGCGACGAGCAGCCCTGAAACGCGACACACAAACGCAACGTGTGGCGGATGCGCGGGGGGAAAATGACGCGGCCGTCTCGTTTGTTTTCCCTGACCAAGCCGGCGACTCCGTCGACCCGGACTGCAAATCCGCCGAATTGAAACGACACGAATCCGTCGCGGCGCCCCCAGAACACACCGGCATTCTTTTGCGACGCGTTTCGAACTCACCGTCGTAAGAGAACGGGAATTAGTCATCTGGTTTTATCAAGTCCAGTACCGGTGTGATGGGTGAGTCCCCTTTCGGGGAGTGGCGAGCGCCGCTGCGTGCCTTGCGGCCTCCGGCAGCTTCTCACGAGCGTTCTCGTGGATTTGGATTTGTGTGACGACAGGTTTGCGTATGCGTGCGTGCTGGCTGTTCACCTCCATGGTCTGGGACTGGTGCATGGACTTGATGGCGGCTTGGGCCATCTGCCTGGCCGTGAACGTCACAAACGCGCAACCTGCAACACACAAACGTGCATGCGTCGACGACAGAAATGGACGGACTGACACCGGGACAAACACCAGAGCTTGGACGTTAGTCCTTGTTTTTCTCAGGCCTGAAGGGACCGTCAAAAGCGCTGACTTACATTCGCCATTGAAATTTCAGGGTTTGTTTGCAAAAGTCGTTTAAATGATTGCCGACGGTCGATCGCCGGCGTTTCTTTTGGGTGTACGGTTCATGAACGGGGGCTGTTTGATTCACAAATGGAATCTATGCACGCATGACAGCCGCCCGCTCGGGGCCGGCGTGCTCACGACGTTCTACCCTGTCCAACTCTGTGAAAATGTGCGCGGCGTAGAAGGCGGGGCCCCGGCCCGCTTGACCGAGGCGCGAGTCGGTAAATGCGGAGCGGGCTGTTCACTGGCTAACTGTTAGCCAGTCAGCAAACGGAGTCGACGGGCGTCAATCCGACGAGTCGGGGTATCCGCGTCATCGTCGCGGCCCGACTTGCGGCGGCACCGAGACAAGACGACCTCATGTTATTCCAACAACCGTTCCCGCATGTCCGATGTCTGAGGAGTGCGAGAACTCTGTCGTCACCTCGGCTCAATCCGTCGGGGCCCCGAAGTATCCGACACTCCTCGATTTGTCCGTAGGGCGAGAACATCAGGCGCATGTCGTTCTCGTTACACTTCTTGGAGATCATGCCGATGAACAGCTTTCTGTCCTCCACCGCTGCATCACACGTAAGGCGCGCGCTCAAATGAGGTCGACCACAGTCACTCGTCAACAGCGCCGAACGTAGTTGAAACGGAACACGTCGAAGGATTTGTGCCCCCGTCCCAAAAAACGTGCTCACCGTTATTCTTCTCACTGTCAGCCGGCTTCATCTGGATGGGGTGGTGCATCTGGAGGAGGAGGGGGAGGAGGAGGAGATTGGACGTCAATGCTCACCCTCAGCGTTGGGCAGCTGCTGTAGAACTACAATATGGATGAGCAGGTGCATCCCGATAAATTTGAGTATCATCCCGAAGCTCAGCTGCGAGCCGTGAGCTGTTCATAAAAGCGACGTCTTGCCCTCGTTTGAACCTTCTTTTGACGCAATTTAGGGCATGCTTCAAATGAACACAATTGCATTCCGGGAAATTAATTGGTGAGTCGAGAGTGTGTGCGTGTGGCTTTATTTTAGGATTCTTATTATTTCGCCGGAGACCGAGACAAAAAAAAAAAATGGTCAAAAACCGAATCGTACGAAAAGGAGGGCAAACGAACTGCAGTTCCATTCAAAAAGCAAAGCAGATATAGACCAGGGTCAGGCAAAATGATCGGACACATTTGTAGGTTAAATCAAAGGCGAATAAAGTCAAGAAACAAAAAAGTGGTTTTTTTTGTTTCGAACAGTCCATATAATGCCATTTTGCTTTGTTTCTTTACAATACCGTTCGTTGTTTTTCGTTTCTTCTTCAGTTGCTGCCATGAATTGGACCGGTGAGCATCGCGCTTTCATTGCGGAAACGTTGATCCAAACAAACGAATCTGTCGCCGCAACACAACGAGCGCTCCGTTTGCACTTCAACCTGGGTAGACATGATCCCGTACCAGCTCGAAACACCATCTCGTTCTGGGTTACCGACTTCAGAGCTACTGGTTCTGCATTGAAAGGAAAATCTAGCGGCCGACCTCGCGCCGCCAGAACTCCATGATGGTGAATTTGGGGTTTTCTTCACTGATTCAAATTCGAATAAAAACAAACCATGGCTTTCACTTTTTGAATTGAAGTTCTGAAAAAGAGAGACTTCCCCCATTCCATCCCACCTTATTGAGATGCATCCGTATCGCACGTCGATCAAAAAGTAGACTCATCTGAAGCCAACGTCACGTTTTGCTGAACGGTGAATCCCTCAGATACCAAATACTATTCCGCAGGCATTGGTTCGCATTCAAAATTTCCCTTTCCTCTGTCTGCTTAACTTTGGCTATGCCCCCCCCCCCCCCTAAAAAAAAAAAACAAACCAAAAAACAAAACATTGACTGTGACATTTTAGCAGAGCAATTGGAATAAAAGAGCTGTTATGCATCACTGCAAATATCACCAAATGCGAGGTGAAGCTTGCTTGCTTTTGCCACCCAGCCCCTTTTCGAAGTACAATCGTGGTCATGATCATTTTCTTCGCGGGGTGAGGAACGTTTGGAACAGGCAAAGAAAGAATACGGCCAAACACACAAAATCCGCTCACAAGTGGGTGCGGCTTCTTAATTCCTTGCCTAATTTCGGACCACATGTTCCTAAAGAACGGTTCAAATGCCAAATTCTGGTGGAACGGGAGTGGGATGTCAAGACGAGCGAGCCGCATCAGAAGGAGCGGACGCCTGTTTCCACGGAAACCGGCGTGCTGCGAAAGGACGCCGCGGCCACTCACCCCCGGAAGAATCTTCATGTTGTGAAGAGCGTTCTGTGCCTCCAAGGCTGACTTGCGAGTGTAATACGTGATGAAACAGCATCCTGCCACGAGAACACACCAAACACACGCACGGACGGGCTCAACAAATGGCAAGTCGACGACGCCGTACGGTCCAAAGCGTCTGATTGCACGGGGGCTGTTGATTTGCTCCACTGCGGACTGCGAGCGGCTTGGACAACGGGAGGCTTATTTCAAACAGTTACCTCGAGAACAATACAAACGAGGCCGGTGAACTCAATCACTGCACGTCATTTTCGAGCATTTTGAGCGAGAATCGACGGGTCGCTGCTTTTAAATGGCCATTTTTAAAGCCCCGGGACTGACAACAAAGACAATTACGGAGTCATTGAGACAAAAATCCGGCAATGTGACGCCCTCTCGGGCGAGATGCTGCGTGCCTTCACATCGAGTCGTCTGAGCGCTTCGCACGGATAATCAATGCCGCGAGCAACTTTGTCCTCCAGGATCGGTTTCAGTTTCTATCGCGACAAGATTTTCATCCATTGGAGGGTGGATCCGGAAGCACCCCCCCCGGTGGTGAACGGGGCTTCACTGTCCCATGAGTCGGACGAGTTAGACGGCCTCTTTGCCCGCAAGGAAAGTGCCGTCACGGAGCGCGACTCACCTTTGCTCTGGGGCGGGTTCTGGCTGCGGTCCCTGAGAACGTTGATCTCGTAGACGGCGCCGTACGGCTCAAAGAGCTCCCGCAGCTGCTCCTCGGACCACGAGCGCGGGATCTGGCCCACGAACATCTTGATGGCGTCCACGTCGGGTTGGTCGGGGTGGTCCAGGGACCCGTTCATCTTCTTGCCACTGCAAAGACACACAAGACCCTGAGTACTACAAATCATTTCTTCATCAAGCGACACTATCTACGCCGGCGACGTAGCTGTACTTCATTGAATACACGACAAGCACGAGATATTTCACGCTCAAACTGCTCGATTTGAATGGTTTTGGCAAATCATCGTTCAGTTTGAATTTGATGGCGGCAACACTCTTCCAAAAAAAAAAAAAAAAGCTGGGCCGGATGGCATCAAACACCCGTTTGGAACGTCTGCGGGGTGAACGGGCTAACCGCCGTTCCCAGGTAGCCTCCCTGAATTGCTCAGTCATTCCCAAGCCAAAATTCGTTGAGTTTCACCTCTTTGCAAACAACCGCGTGGGACGTTTCGGGACAATGTTCCTCGACGCACATTTGCAAGCAACTGAGGGATTTCATCATCTGCGGTCCAAAATATCATCCGAAGGTTCCAACAATCTGCCAAAAATCGACGCTGCATCCATAGGTGCAACTTTAAACCGCGCGTCAAAAAAGACACTCATCAGCAAGAGCCAGAAAACACCACCGGCGATCCCGAGCTCGTTGAAGACGGACTGATGCAAGGTGGAAAATTGTTCTGTGGTCCAACGAGTCCGCATTTCAAATTGTTTTGGGAAATTGCGGACGCGTGTCCTTCGGGCCCAAGAGGAAAAGAACCGTTATGGGCCCAAAGTTCAAAGGCCAGCATCTCTGATGTTTTAAGGGGCTGCCGCAGTGCCAACGGCACGGCTAACTTTGGCATCCGCCAAAGCATCAGTCACACTGAAAGGTCCGTCCGGGTTTTGGAGCGACAGATGCTGCCATGCAAACAAAGTCTTTTTTCAAACCAAATGCCAAAGCACATTCTTGCTCGTGACAAAAGCGCGGGTAGTCGACTGGCCTGCCTGCAGTCCTGACCCGTCTCCCAGTGAAAATGTGCGTCGGGCGAGGAAGCGTCAAACATCGAGAACGGAGATCCCCGACTGTTGAACGGCTGAAGCTGTACATCGATCAAGAACGGGAAATTATTCCACTGACAAAGCTTCCACAATTCCTGTCCTCACTCGGTTCCTAAACATTATTGAATGTTGCTCAAAGAAAAGGTGACGTAACACAGCGGGCAGCATGACCCTGTCCCGGCTAGAATGGATCCATTTCAGCATGAAATATCTGGTCTTTGTCGTCTCGTCAATTAAAGAGAGGTTGAACGGCATTTGCAAACCATCAGCCCAACTTTGTTGGAAGCGGGTTTGGAACACCGACTTGAATGACGTAGTGTTGAACTCAAGCAAGATGGTGTTTTTTGTTTTTTTTTGGGGGGGGGGGGTCCTAAAAAATACAATACATTATTATTTATATGGCTCTTTCACGACAGCTGAAGCTGAAACGAAATAGTGCCCGGAAGATGCAAACCAGACGGGCAATTGTACTGCTGCTGCCAGGCCGTGAGCTCACAACCACCGCCGCCTTCCCCTTCTCGAACGCACGCACCACCGTGGAAGTGACACATAACCTCCAAATGACTTCCTCTCCTTTCGAGCCGGTTAGCTGCAGTGCACAAGAGCAGCAGCCCCGTGTTCCAATATCAGTCCCGAATGAACGTGTCATACTGACGCCTGCGCACTTTCGAAAAGTTGACACGGGAATAATATCGCTGTGTTGAAAAGCTCGACTTGTGGAATCGCTTTTGAAAGGTTTGCTTATTCGCTCTCACCTCACAAGTAAGGAGCTTGTTTCATATTCTCATGAATTCGTAATGGGAACAATGCGGGCTCCTCCCCCATTCGGGTCAGAGTAATCCACCAAGGTCGGATGGAGGCAAATTGACTCTTGTTTGTGTTTGAAGGAAGATGACAATCAACACAGACAACCAGAAATCCTCTTTGGCTCGGTCAGGGTGTGGGTTTTATTCTTAGGATAAGAATAAAACCCACAACAGCGAAGACTCTTAGCTGTTTTCCAGAAGTGAAGGAGCCTTCTGGATTCAAAGGTAAACACCAAGAACAGTGCCGCTGCCTCCCTTGGAATTGTGCAGATGACCGCGAGCCGGATCATCGCTGACAATGCAACGCAGACAACCAGAAATCTTGTTTGGTAAGATCATGTCAGTCGGGGGAAGTCAGGGAAGAATTTGCCAAACCCCCAACCCCCAACGTTCGGATTGAGTCCAAGTGCAAAGTTGCGTCACGCAGGTTGCCACCTTTTTACAGCCACAAGTCTTCCTCTTCCTCCTTGGTCATCTTAAACAATTTCAACATGATGTCAACTTTGGCCAATACATTAAAGGCGCAAACTAAACTCGCGGTTGTGCGTGTACATGGCAACACGAACGGCAAAGCACCTCAATTCCAGCAGTCTAAGTCCAAGAAAGGAGAAAGGTGACTCACACAGGACTCGGGTTCAAAGAGCAATGATCCACCATCATCTCTGGGAGAAAATCCAGCTTAAAAGACGCCATGGTGGCTTTCGGCGAAAGCAAAAATCAACACAAACAAGGACGAGCCGCCAAAGTCAACAAACGCGCTGCTCTGTGAGAAGTCAACAGCAACCGGATCCACACATGGACAAACTGGCCGGCGGGGGACCGCGGTCAGAACACGGGGCCGAGGAAACGCCGGCCAAAACGGAGGACGACACCACGGGCAGCGAAAAGGCCTATGGAGGAAGCGGGGATGCTGGCGGGATGACGGAGGGGGGGGGTCAGAGGGCGTGATGGCCACAATCAAAATGCTGATGACCCACGGCCTTTGTGAGCGTTTCCCCTAGGCCAGCAGATCTGGCTGCAGCGTCAGATAAACAGCGTGTCAGATTGATGGCGATAAGGCCCAGTGGGTAGCGGGAATGAAAAGAGGGAGTCAATGCAGCCAGGCAGCCGGCGCGTAATCCCCGGCCCGGCGGCCCCGCCGACCAACAATTAAGTTCCGGCGGCTACAGCGGAGAAGGACGGGGAAGGCTGCGAAGTGGTGTCCGTGTCCGTGTCCTGATTAGTTTGTGGGTGTGACGAGTGTTCACAAAGGGACGGACAGCAGACGTTCTGGGACGCTAACTGCCATCTTTGCGTCCGCGCCCGCACGCACGCACACACAAGATGGAGTCAAACCTGCAACTACTTTTCACGTCTTCCATAAGAGCAAAGACACGCCTCCATCTTTTTTCTTATGTCGGCTCAACATCTTAAACAGGGAAGCGCAGACCACGCTCGCCAAAGCCACTTTGTCCAGCTCTTCCGTGGGGACGTTGCCAGGCCAGCCCGGAGACGCTCTCTCTCTCCGTTCTCATTCCATTCGGCCACCAACCACCCCGGGGAGGGTGAAAGATTGTGGCTTGATGATACCAATAGAAGCACATTGTGTGCAAAAAGCAGAGACCCAAGCCACCAAACTGGACCCCCTCGCCACCGCGGCTGCGCCAAGAAATTCTGTCCTTCGGGGTTACAAAGAGAGGTGCGTCTGTGGCGGGGTTTTGACTTTCTGGACCTGGATTTGCCACCTCTGGTTATGAAGAGTCACTCATCAGTGACAAATGACAGTATCGGTTGAGTCCAGCCCTCACGAGAATCCCAATTACTCAGAGCAACGCAGACCAAACTCTGACACCAGTCATATAGCGATGGTTAGAATTGCAATTTCAAGTGTTAATTAACAAAGGGACTCGTGTGTGTTGACCTGACATCATCACTGCCAAAGTCACATTTTAACGAGAACGAAACACAACAAATTCAACAAACGAGTTGCCTCGATTCAACCTTTGCGGATTACCGTGACGTGAATAACTGAGAGTCAAAAGAAAGCACGTTTTTAGGGAGCGCATTGGATGTTCTTGATGATATTGTGAGAGCAAGTTAAAAAAACAACTTTGGCAACTATGTCGGGCTAACGATTTGAATTGAGTAGCATATCCATCACTCTACGGTAGAACCTCAAAAACAGGCCGGCAGGCTTTTCTCATCATAAACAAGTTATGCGATTGACTGACAACCAGTTCAGGGTGTACCCCAACTACTGCCCGAAGACAGCTGGGATAGGCTTTGGCACGCCTGCAACCCTCGTGAGGATAAGCAGATTAGAAAGTGGATGGATGAATAAAGTAGCTCATTCACATTTCTTTAAGTATTCGTATTATTGGTAATATATTTATTTAGAATTAACCAGTTATTTAACGAAATACATCTTATGGAAAAGTTGCTTCACCTAGTTTAGTTTACCCATGTTGTTTATTCTTCAAGCCGACGTATATTTGACAAATAAACCCAAGACAAGACAGAGATAACATAAGATCGTAATTAGCAATTAACAGTGTGATGTCTGCCGAAATGCCATTGATCGTAAACGATTGTAAACTTGCCACATATTTTATTAATCACGGGGAAAATTCCAGAAACAATTTTGAGTTATGTGCGGCAATTTGGAGTCCTCACAAGGACAGTCAAAAAACACGAATGGCTCTCTGTTATCGTGCCAAGGTGCAATAAAGTTTGCAAGTTTGAACACTCTCGCCATTCCCGCGTTAGTAGCCGACATCACGTGCGCCCTCTTTTCGGATATAAATAGTGACCAAAACATAATTTATTAATAGTGAGCAGAAGTGTTCTCACTTGACACCAGCCTCTCGCCACCAACGCCACACACCGTGCACACACCGTGTACTCGTCGCATTGTTGTCACGTTAGCGTTAGCGTGGGCCAACCAAGACCGACAAGTTTTTGACAGTCAGCTGCCAGGTGCGCGCGCACACGCTGCTTCGGCTCGCCTCGGCAAGGCTAGCTGGCTAGCATGCTAGCTCCCAACAAGCCTTTCTCTCAACTTGAAATGAGCAACTTACCCGTCTTTTACGCCACAGTTTATTTGACTGGCTTTGGCTGAGACCAGGGTGCCGTGTTGGACGTTGGCCGGCAAATGTAATGTTGTGTTGTGCTGTACACTTTCAAATCGACAAGTTTAAACGGCGAGTACTCCCAACTTCCCAGATTGTGACAGCTAGCGGTTACTGTGTAAAAATGGCAGGCACTCGCTCCAACTCGGGCCACTTCCATTGCACCTGTCCAACGGGGGTGGTTCCGACGGCTGCGCCGCAATTTCAGATATTTTTATGAATTCTTGATCCGTTTATTTATTTTAAGAACGGTGATTTATTTAAAACGCATACTTCAGATGCGCCGTAATGAGAAGCCAGAGCTTTGAGAGACCGAGATGGTAGTAGAATATTTCCTTCGTGGAAATGGCGGGTGGTGCGGTCCTCTGAGAGGCACCACGCGGGACAGATGTTTTGCTATCATTTTTTTTCTCCGATATGGAGCATTTTTAAAACTATACCGTCCCTTAAACGATCCAGTAATTTATGATCCATTTCAAGCATCGAGTAGTTAAAACAAATACAAATTAATCGTAAAAAAATAATAAATAAGAAGAAAAGAAAATCGAGATATGTATTTGTCATAATGCACGGTAAAAACACCGAGCAGGATATTTTTACTTTGCTATTCTATCGCCACTTTTTCAAAGAGGTTGAAATAGTTTTTAAAAGCAATTTTAAGATCAATACTGAATGGGGAAAAGGAGATACGCAATGTGCATAAGAACATTTTAAAAACAATACCCCCCCCACCCCGCCTCCCAAAAAAGAAAGGACAGTATATTTGAATTCGGCAGTGGTAATTATCTAGTAAAGTTAGTGCAAGAATAAAAAGGTATCTATATAACGTGCAAAGATTCAGATATTCAACGATTGAAGTGGCATTGTGCACTCACCCATTTTTAATATGCTTATATTTATATTTTATATAAATATATTTTATATTTATTTATATACTTTTTGTCTACTATTTTCTCCCTTTCATAATTTTGCTGCTGTAAATTGGGAATTTGTCCATTGTCAGCCAAATAAAGGTTTTCTGATCTCATCTTATTACAAACGCGAAATATCTACACAGTATCATGACAAAGAATTTACCCCATTCCAAAATTATTTTTTGCATTGTTTCCCTAATATATTAAGGATTAAAAAAACTATGTTTCGATATACCTAGCCCTGTGTGAAAAAGTAATTGTCCAAGACAATCAGTGTCAGCAACGCCGGAGAGTTTTTAAGCGTGAATGGCCTTTATGAGGTAATGCCACAGCATTTCAATCAAATTCAAGTCTGGACTTTGATTCGGCCACTCCAAAACCTCAGTTTAATTTTTTTAAATGTCATTCAGAAGTCGACTTGCTGGTGTGTATTGTCTGGCTGTTCTGCTCAAGAACACAAGTGCGCTTCAGCTTGAGGACACAAACTGGTGGTTGAAACCCCCCCCCCCCCCCCCCCAAGATTGTCTCATAAAGAGCAGAATTCGCGGTTCCTTAAATCACAACATGGGGTGTCATGGCTCAGTAGTAGAGTGGTTGTTTCCCAACCAAGAGGTTGGTGGCTCGAGCCCCCAGCCGTTGCGACCATGTAGACGTGTCCTTGAGCAAGATTCTGAACCGTCAGTTTCTGATGCTGCTCCATCAGTACGTGAATGAGCTAACAGTGTGAAGCGCTTTGAGTGCCCGAGGTAGAAAAGCGCAGTACAGGTGACAGCCTAACAAGTTGTACATGTTATGAAGGATCCATGTATTTATTATTATTATAACATATAACGAGTTATTCTTATTCGTACTCTTGTTGTTGTGATTATTGTTGTTGCTGTTGTGGTTGTTGTCGTCGTTAGTGGTGTTGCATGTTGAGGTAACAGATTCCGACGGCAAAAAAAATAAAATAAATAACAGATTCCGACGGCCCGCCCACCTGGTCCTCTGGTCCTCGTGACGTCACTCGGCGCTGGCGCAGGAAGTCTGCGAATGCAACTGGGCAGTCACATGACAAGCAGGCATCGCCGTTGGGACTGTTGAGAGACCCAGCTTGAAATCATGGTAAGCGGCTTGTTGACCGAGTGCCAACGCGACGCACAAATGCCGAGCTCGGCATTTATGGAATACATGTGCTCGTGTGCTATCCAACAACCCAGACGAGCGTTTTAACGCCGCTTGTAATCTACGCGCATTCGTCTTGCGGAGATGGAGGCTGGGCCTGTCCAGGCTAAGGCTAGGATAAGCTAAGCTAACAGCGACTTCCAGCTCAAGGCCAAAACATTTTCAATGCGAACTGTAAAGCGTAACGTGTCTTTCGTCGAGTTGTTCGCGGCGTAGAACGAGCCCAACGTGTATTGTGTAGTTATTTGACGACTCAACTTCTGACGCCCGATGGATGTTGTTAGCTTAGCATAGTTTCGCTCAGCTTCTGTCAAACGTTATCGTGAGAGGGAGATCTCTTTCAATTAAGAATCGCGTTTCCTCAAAGTTCACTAAACCTCGAATTGATTACGACTTTATGTGTCACGAGAAAGGAGAAACGAAGCGGCCGTACAATTGCTCAGAATAACAGCCGAGGCCATCGTTACAGTAATGTCGATCAAATCTCAAATGTTTGGGCTCCACTTGCTGCCTTGCCCCAAAACGAGCGGCGTTAATTACAGTACTTCAATACTGACTTGAGTACTGTCTGCATGGTGATGAAGTGGTTCGCATATCTCCCTTTCAGTTCAGACTTTTGTAAGTATGCGTGTCAACATTTCCAGATGAATTGATCCCCATGAGATCAATGTTGCCAGGCAGAGCTTTGAGACACCATTTCAATGACACAAGTATAATTAATTTCCCAGTGGATGAATCTTGACAAAGGTCTGAATCTTTAAAACTGGTGGAATGCACCAATTTCAAAGTCATCACATATCATAAGTAAATTGTCAAGAAAATGTGAATGTCATAAATGAATGTCTTGGAAAGTTTGCTGAATTAGACCAGTGAGGAAGTGTTCATTGGGAAACTCCGACTGCATTTATTTGCAGCACGATAAAATGCATTTGTTTTTATTTACCTTTTGGTGATGTGTTTAAATTACTGTATCCTAAGACATATGAATTTCCTTTTTACTCCAATGCAGTGGTTCTCATACTTTTGACACAGCTTACCATCTCAAAAAAATTCTTTGGTTACCAAGTACAACCATCCTGACCAACGTTAAAAGACAGTGTTGTTGTAGTCCCAAGTGCTCAGCAAAAACGACGCAGAGATTTTAGTCTCAAAAAGTACATTTAAAGTTTTTGTCAGTCACTCTGACATTATGCAAAATTTAAAGTTTTTTTTAATAATAGGAAAGTAAAAAAAAAAAAATACTTAAACGAATGATTCAACTCAATTACAAACTGTATGTAAGTCAATTTAAAAAAGTACCTCATTATAAAGTTCTAACAGAAATAATTGTGGGTTTTATTCCTTCAAAAAAAAAACCAAAAAAAAAACAGTGAGAACACAAAACATTTTTCCAAGAAAAAAAGGTCAGTTGTAGCAAATGAAAGCTATATTTTATTTCCAAAAACATGGTCTCAAGAGATAAATTGCCATGAACTATGGGTTATTTTTTTACCTGAGAAAATGAACACCTTAATGGGGGTAAAAAATAATCTTATGAGACGTAAGTCATATTTTATCTGCATATTTTGTGAATATATTCGGGTTTTTTCCAGTGTTGGCACAAATTTCAAGGCCGTAGCGGTCCAAACACAAGTAAAACTCATCAGAAATGTTTCTCAGCGTTTTGATTTTTATTTGCTTGTTTGATTGCCACCCACTATTCATTTCAGCCGACGACACAGCAGTCTCCTCAAGATGAGCAGGAGAAGCTTCTGGACGAAGCCGTGCAAGCCGTCAAGGTCCAGTCCTTCCAGATGAAACGATGCCTGGTAGGACCATTCCAACGTGTCGACCGGTCATGTGAGCTCACGCGATTGGGCTCTCTTCTCTTCAGTCAGGAGGCTGTTGCTTTGCGCTTTCTTGACCTTGTTCTTTGCTCTCGCACGCGCGCCACAGGACAAGAACAAGCTGATGGACGCATTGAAACACGCCTCCAACATGCTGGGGGAACTGCGCACCTCCATGCTGTCGCCCAAAAGCTACTACGAGCTCTGTATCCTCAAATCTGTTGTGTGGCACATGCACGTGGCACTGTGGCACTGTGGAAATAGACAAACATGAAGGCAACTTCTGTTGCACTTGTCCTCCTAAGTGTAGCCGCTGGATAAACTGTTGACTGGTCGCCATTGAAGCTCAGGCCACATGTGGACAAACGGCGGACTGCTTGCCAGTCGAGGTGTGGGCACATACAGACAAACTAATGTTGTCCCGGTGTCCTAGAAAGGCTAGCGGTTCAGCTGGGATCGGCTCCAATCATGGCGTCCTCGTGAGGATAAGCGGCTCGGATCATGGATAGGTGGATGCTATCGTATCAGGGTTTAAAAAAAAAAAAAAAAATTTTTTTGCCGGCTAGAATTCATCTGATACTGTTTCCGGTAAAGAGTGGAAGATCGGGGCCTCTAAACTCAACATGTGGGCACATTCAGTTGTAAACTGTATGGTATGTCTCCCAACTCCTGGTGATTGGTGACATATGCAGCTGTGCTCTTAAGTTCGCATGAGCGGACCGATCGGTCGGCACCGCAACCTTCCGTGCCTCGTACGAATCAACGCTGAGTGTTGTGGCTCCCTAACGAGCGGCGCGGGAAGACATGGCCATCTCGGACGAGCTGCACTACCTGGAGGTCTACCTCACGGACGAGTTTGCCAAAGGACGCAAGGTGGCTGACCTGTACGAGCTGGTCCAGTATGCGGGGAACATCATTCCCAGACTGTGAGCGCCGCCGATGCCCGAAAAATTCAAATGCCAAACATTACAACGCAAATCCTGGATATACTGTAAAACAAAGATTTTTCAGAAAATACGACCAAATCGTCGGCTGGTAGTGGCACAAATATTTGAAAATATACAGCGGCAATTTTTAAATGTGCTACACAATCGAGCAATACTCGAGAATAACACAAAATATTAGATGAAAAATGCAACACACCACAAGGATGAAACATTTGCAAATGTTCGGGGGAAAAAATCGGAAAAGAGTGCCAAATGATGAAACGAAAATTGTACAAATATTAGGAAATTATCTTGTCAAGATTAGTGGTGAAAAGCTACACAAATATGACCCCAAAAAAGTCAAATGGAAGCAAAAAATATTCAGGAATTTAATTTATCCTGGTAATGCAATTGGGACGTACTTTTATTTTCAATGCAGACAAAAAGAAATTGCATGATCACATGTTGCTGTTACATCTGTGTCGAAATAGTTGAGCAACTGCAAAATGAAAGCTGACGCTGTTTTATTTGGGGTGGGGGGGGGCGGCAGCTACCTGCTGATCACGGTGGGCGTGGTCTACGTGCGCTCCTTCCCGCAGTCTCGCAAGGACATCCTGAAGGACCTGGTGGAGATGTGCCGCGGCGTGCAGCACCCCCTCAGGGGCCTCTTCCTCCGCAACTACCTGCTGCAGTGCACCCGCAACATCCTGCCCGACGACGGCGAGCACACCGAGTAAGGCCCCCCGCCGGCACGCCTCCCGGGGCTCTCCTTGAACCGGACGGCCAATGTTTTCACAGAGCGCTACCTTTACTTTCCAGCAGCGTCGCCGCAGTTACCTTGGGGGGTGGCGTGACCCATGAGGCGATTTGAAAAGCAAGTCAGATAGTTTGATGATCACCTGCGTTTAAAAGTTACCTCGAGTTGACGTTCGGCGGAGGCCGATGTACTATGATGGAATCCAAATAATAAGGAGAAAGCAAATGAAAGTTTCCGTTCCCATTTCCTGCGGGAAGAGTTGGAGCTAAACAGTCGGAGCTTCCAAAGAGGTCGCTGTCAACACAAGTGCCAAAATGTTTGCCCTCTCCGCCAGAGGCTCAGAGGAGATGACGGGCGACATCAACGACTCCATCGACTTTGTGCTGCTCAACTTTGCGGAGATGAACAAGCTGTGGGTGCGCATGCAGCACCAGGGCCACAGTCGCGACCGGGAGAAGCGCGAGAAGGAGCGCCAGGAGCTGCGCATCCTGGTGGGCACCAACCTCGTCCGCCTCAGCCAGCTGGAGGGCGTCAACGTGGACAAGTACAAGCAGGTGAGCCCACCTGGAGCCGGCCTCCAGGTTTGGGGGTTTTTGGGGTGGGGACAAAAGATGACATAAAATCTGATATTTGAGCATTTTGCAAAAATTAGGAAAAATATACAAATATGAGGAAAATTTCAGGTTAAAAACCGTGCAAAGATTGGAAAGATACAAAAAAAAAATCATCAGAATTGAACACGATCAAATATTCAAATACAAACTCGCTGACTTTTTTTTAATGACTGTTTTATTCGAAATATTCATGTTTCCTTGTTTCAAAAAATGCCATTTTGTGTGTTGAGTTCGCAAATGAATGAGTAAAAATGTGTCGAGTGTGCTCGTTGATATTTTTTGCCCCTCTGACCTCACAGGTCGTTCTTCCCGGCGTACTGGAGCAGGTCGTGAACTGCCGAGACTCGCTGGCGCAGGAGTACCTGATGGAATGCATCATCCAGGTAGACGCGGCGTCACGCCGTCGTCAGGGCGCGTCTTCCTCCTCCCTCCTCTTCCCCTTCTTCTTTCGAACACGCTCGGTCTTTTTCTGCTCGTCTGCTCACGCCAGGTGTTCCCGGACGAGTTCCACCTGCAGACCCTCAACCCTTTCCTGCGCTCTTGCGCCGAGCTTCATCAGCACGTCAACGTCAAGAACATCATCATCGCCCTCATTGACAGGTACGGCCAATTCCTGTCGATGGCGCATTCCTGATCGGGGACGGCGTCAGGAGAGCGTATTGAGTGGTGCGCTACGAGAGCGCCAACTTCCTGGTTTTTGCAGACGCGAGTGACACGGAGATAGGGAGCCATCTCACGAGCTGTTGATTTCACGTAGTTTTCCTGCCTTCTTTCTCACGTGGTCGCCGCTGGGAAATTTCTGACCCACCGTGTACCAAAAAGAGCTTTGGAGGCCTTCAAAATCAACGGACAGAAGTCTTGACAACAGTTTGACTGCAGTTTTTGGCCTCACGTTGGCCGATTTAGCAGTAGCACTCAAAGTATTTTGTGAAGGCAAACAAACAAGGTCTCCTAAAGCCCCGCCAAATGGCCGGGCGCGGTAGATGAGCGGCAGTATCGCGGGGGGAATGGCGTTACACGTCGGCGCCAGACTGGACGGCCGGAGCGAGTTGATCACCGGCGTTTCCTTTCAGACTGGCGCTGTTTGCTCACCGAGAAGATGGGCCCGGGATTCCGGCGGAGATCAAACTTTTTGACATCTTCTCGCAGCAAGTGGCCACGGTCATCCAGGTAGTGTACTCGACTTTAGGGGCAAAAACCTTCCACCGCGTTCACAATTACCTTTTCAGTCCCATTCTCACTCCATATGTCTTTGGGGGTAATTTGATGGTGAAGTTTGACGACTGTACTTTTGAGTCCACGTGACACATTCGAAGAGTTGTGTACCGTACCTTCACCTTCGGAATAGATCCGGTGCCGAAAACTTGGATTTGCAGCCGAATCTTTTGCTACGATCATTGAGTCCTCTTTCGAAACATAAATACGACAATTAATTGATTGTCACTGCAATTTTTCCTCGCCACATCTCAATGAAACCGAGCGTTTACAATATTTACGAGGTCTGCTGTATAGCTAATTTAGCATTTTCTTAACCAGTAGTTAGCCAATCCAACCACCAGGGGGCGAACACTTTGTTAAAAGGCTGCCTCAATGACAAGCCAGTACATCCTGCAGTTGGGGGGGGGGGGGGGATTGGATGACAGCGATTCATGTCGGGGGGGGAAAAAAAGTACCGCAAATATTGGAGAGGAGGAGCCAATGACTCAAAAGGGATCAATCAACCACCGTTATTGGATGACAGCGATTCATGGTGGGGGGGGGGAGTACCGCAAATATTGGAGAGGAGGATCCAATGACTCAAAAGGGATCAATCAACCACCGCTGTTTGGGATTCAGGGCAAGTGACCTTGAACAAGCTGTTAGCCCATTGCAAAGGGTCAATTAAACCTTGGTGACAATTGATCTTTTCGTGTATTGTTTATTTCCAAATGAGAATCGAACATGTATGGTCAGGTTTCATTTTGCTGTCAAAATGAAATGTTTCTATCTTGTTTGCTGAAAAGTAGTGCACGAAAAGAAGGAATTGTGATCAAATGAATCCTGGTTATGGTTGTGGCCGCAACCGCGCAGCGCTCATCGAAATACATCATTGCGTGTGTAAAGTGCATTTGAAACGATCCGAGAAACTTGCACACTGCCGCGGACGGCTCCGTGCGTCAACGAACCGTCAGCCGTTTTCCCGCCGCCAGCATGTGTATGACGTACTTTTTTGTATGTCATGCCGTAAGGCTCAATAGAGCCTCGGAAACATTGTGGAAATGAGCAAAAGTCATCGTTGCGTGACAATGACAATTGCTTTCGACACAAGCGTGCGAGAGGAATGAGTGTTGGCTTTTGAACTGGCTTGACACTTCCAAACTGGACTCGAGTTGAAGATACAAGGGAGGTTTTCCTTGGCCAAACGTGCTCATGTTTTTATTCGGAGGGTGTGTGTGTTTGTGTGTGTGTTTTTTCTCACATGCAGTCACGTCAGGACATGCCGTCCGAGGACGTGGTGTCCCTGCAGGTGTCTCTCATCAATCTGGCCATGAAGTGTTATCCCGAGCGCGTGGACTACGTGGACAAGGTGCTGGAGAGCACCGTGGAGATCTTCAACAAGCTCAACCTGGAACAGTACGTAACGCGCTTGCGTGTACGCTTTGGCAGCCTCTTCCGCCGGGGAGAGCACTTTGACCAGTGTCCATGGGAGCGCTCGACGGAACGACAAATTATCGAGAGATTTAATCCGATGCATCGATTAAGGGATCAAAGATTTGATGTCTCCGGAAGTTACGGAGTCGTCAAAGGTTAAAAATCAAGGCAACCGGACTCATGATTGCGTTCATTTTTTTTTTTTTTTTCCGCCTTCTCCGCCCGCCCCAAAACATGTAAACATGACTTAGTTGCTCTATTTGGAAAGACGATGGGATGCTTCCGCACCTTTTGCCCCTTTTTTTCCCCCACCCGCGTCCGGTGAATCGTCTGCCGCGTTCCGTGCGTCTGTCCCGCAGCATAGCGACCAGTAGCGCCGTGTCCAAGGAGCTGACGCGCCTGCTGAAGATCCCGGTGGACACGTACAACAACGCGCTGACGGTGCTGCAGCTCAAGCACTTCCCGCCGCTCTTTGAGTACTTTGATTACGAGTCTCGCAAGAGCATGAGCTGCTACGTGCTCAGCAACACGCTGGACTACAACACCACCATCGTGGCGCAGGAACAGGTGAGACCAGCTCGTCTCGTCGCTTTGCTGAAAGCGTTCATCAGCCTTTTTTTGTTTGGTTTTTTTTTTTTGCTTCTGCGGTTGCGCTCGCAAAGCGACGCCGGTTTCACGTCTCCCCCGCCCGCCCGACAGGTGGACGCCATCTTGAACCTGGTGTCCACGCTGATCCAGGACCAGCCGGACCAGCCCGCCGACGACCCGGACCCCGAGGATTTTGCCGAGGAGCAGAGCCTCGTGGGTCGCTTCATTCATCTGCTGCACTCGGACGACCCCGATCAGCAGTACCTGGTCCGCCCGCGTTCCCCGCCGCGGTCCTCTTGCTTTTGTTGCCGTTGACCCGTCGATGTGGATCGCGCGTGCAGATCCTGAACACGGCCCGCAAGCACTTCGGCGCGGGCGGAAACCAGAGGATCCGATACACGCTCCCTCCGCTGGTGTTTGCCGCCTACCAGCTGGCCTTCCGATACAAGGACAACTCGTCGCTGGTGAGCTTCCCCGCAGACGTGCGCCTCGTACGCTCCCGTTCCGCTTCTCCTTCCAGCATCTTCCGCCGCTTGGACCACTACTTTTTCGCCCGCTACTCTTACGACTTGTCCTTCTTTTCATCTTTGTGCTTCTCTTGCTCTGTCCACCTCCTCCTTCTTCTCCTTCCACTTGTACTTTGACTTCTTCAATGACGATTTCTCGCTTTTCGCCCTCTGTTGTCCTCACTTCAAACTTCTTCAGCGACTTAGAACTATCCCTGCATTTTTTTGGGGGGGTCTTTGTCTTCTACTCGTACCTCTCTCGCCAGACCTCATTTCTGTACTTCTACCGCTACTTCTATTCTTGGGGGGGCTTTCGATCCAATTGCCGTTTTTACATGCTAACAGTTCACTTTCAATGAGTGTATAAAAAAGTGGCCGGTTGTGGGGTTTATTTTGCTCATTTATCAACACTTGTCACTTCAGCCGGTGAGGCAGTGAGCAGTCTTTCAACAATCAACAACAGCGGTGAACAATTTCAAAAAAAAAAAATTTTTTTTTTTGATACATTCCCCAAAGTGTTGGAAAAATAAGCCTGCAAGTTGGTGGTTGACGACCTGTGAATATGAGTGGGGGGTGGGGGGCGACTGCTTCTACTCGCCAACATATTTGTCCTTCTTTTTTGTCCCTCCTTCAGGACGACAAGTGGGAGAAGAAGTGTCAGAAGATCTTCTCGTTCGCCCACCAGACCATCAGTGCCTTGATCAAGGCCGAGTTGGCCGAGCTGCCGCTGCGACTCTTCCTGCAGGGGGCGCTGGCGGCCGGCGAGATCGGCTTTGAGAACCACGAGACGGTCGCTTACGAGTTCATGTCGCAGGTAAGCCGAGCTCGCCGCTCGGCTGACGCGCGCTGCCCGCCCGCGCTACCGACTCTCGAGCCGTCACGACCCCCCCCAATGGCGTCCCGCGCGGCTTTCTTCGAGTTGCTCTTGAGACGTTGTGACCGCGTCAGTCCCGTCCACGGACTCTTCCCGTTGGGCGCGATTTGAGCGAGTGCCTCGCGGCGCCGCCTCCCGACCGTTTGACCCGCAGCGTTGCGCCGCCTTTGCAGGCCTTCTCGCTGTATGAGGACGAGATCAGCGACTCCAAAGCGCAGCTGGCGGCCATCACGTTGATCATCGGCACGTTCGAGCGCACCAAGTGCTTCAGCGAGGAGAACCACGAGCCGCTCAGGACGCAGTGCGCCTTGGCCGCCTCCAAGCTGCTCAAGAAACCCGACCAGTGTCGCGCCGTCAGCATATGCGCCCACCTCTTCTGGTCCGGACGCAGCACGGACAAGAACCGCGAAGAGGTGCGCCGCGCAAGCGCCGCTCCGGTCATCCGCTAAGCCCATTTATTCATTTATGGCCTCCGTTGTGCTCTTTCCTTCCTTCTTACTGCCCTTCATCGCTTTCTTTCTTTTTCCAGTCATTCCTTTCTGACCTTCCCTCTCTCCTTTCTGTCGTCGGTTCTGCTTGCCTTCCTTCCTTCCTTCCTCTTCTGCCATCTGCTTTCTTTTGATCTTTTGCCTTTTCAGTCCTTCCTTTTCCTTCGTCTCCTTCAATCCTTTCCTCCCTCCCTTCCTTCGCGTTTCATTTTTGACTGACTCTTCTCGCCCCGCCTTTGTTCTTTATTCCTTCCTCTATTCCTCTCTTTTTTTCATTCCCCTTTCCTTCTATCCCTATTTTTTCCTCCCCTTCCATCCTTCCCTCCTGATTTCATTCCGTCCCTTTTTTTCTTCCATCCAAGGTACAGTTTGTGCCCAACTGTCTTTTGCAGTGTCTTTGTTTAAAAAAAAAAAGGGGGGGGGCGGGGACCTGACCTCTCTATTGTTGGATCGGCACCGTGAATGAATTGCTCATAGGAAAGCAGTGGGGCGACGAGACCAAAGTTGCAAGAGCAATTCAGAAGGCTACGAGAGCCACTTGCCAGTAAGCGGGCGCACTTGCGTTTCAGATCCGAGACGGCAAACGCGTGATGGAGTGTCTGAAGAAAGCGCTGAAGATCGCCAACCAGTGCATGGACCCCTCGCTGCAAGTGCAGCTCTTCATCGAGATCCTCAACAGATACGTCTGCTTCTACGAGAGGGAAAACGATGCCGTAAGACCGTCGCCAGACGCTACACCGCAATCCAAATTGCTTCCTAGTTTGCACACACGCAGCCAACCTCCGTTTTTTTTTGGGTTGACACGATTTGCTTCTCTCCGTTGGCGCTTGCCGCCCGACGCTTTTGACCACTACCGACATACGTGATAAAGTTTTCAACTGACACGAGGTACCCACTCCTCGCCATCGACAAACATAGAGTACCCGCTGCTTGTTGTGGACGCACACGATGCTTGCCGCTCTCCGTCTCTCTCAAGACACGGACGGCACCCGTTAGTCGCTAATGACAGCAAATGTACTTTGATTTTGCGCCCTGACGCAGCGGCGCTCGACTCTCGGACTTCTCCCTGAGGTGTTTTTGCGGTTGTGCACTTTGGCGAGCGTAGGTGACGGTGCAGGTTCTGAACCAGCTGATCCAGAAGATCCGGGAGGACCTCCCCAACCTGGAGGCCAGCGAGGAGAGCGAGCAGATCAACAAACACTTCCACAACACGCTGGAGCACCTGCGCCTGCAGAGGGAGGCGCCGGAGGCCGAGGGGGCCGTCTATGAAGGACTGGTCCTCTGAAACCATCGGCCGCACTCGGATGCACCGCACGCGCGCAAAAGGAATTCCAGCATTGCCCCACCAAGAACTCCCGCCATCCATTTTATTGCCGCGAAGAAGAAGATCACGACCGGTTGGCGTTTCCTCTCGCGGAGCGTCTTCCGCGACCGCGTGGACAAGCGTCGGAAAGTCGAGTGAGCATTTCCACCAAATTGGCATCCATCGAGGACGCGGAATCGATGCTTCCACGGCTTTTCGGGCGAAGCTACTTAAACCTACGTCTTGCCCGCCGTGTCCGCGAAGCCCCGCCTCCCCCGAGCACATGCCCCCGCCGTGTTTTGTGCGTAAGATGAGTGGATGATTTGCAAAAATTTCCCACTCGTGTTTTCTTTCTTTCTTTTGGCTCGGGAGGCGTCGGTGTGCAAAATCCGCCCCCCACTTGTCAATCACACCCGTGAGCGATCCCAGTTCGATCGGAGTTCTGGTCGTCATTTGCGAAAATAAAACCATACATTCTTAACAATGTACTTGCTTTTTGTTAATTTTGCAAAGGCACTATATCGATATAATAAAGTATTACCGTTAATATAAGAAGCGCCTCGAGGTTCATGTCTTGTATACATTATTTCTGACATCTTGGGAATGGACTACATTGTGTGCGCGCGCGTTGTCTGCTTCCGGGTGAAAGCGGCTCATTTTTATTTTGGGTAATCGGGGCAAATTTGGAAAGAATCTAATTTGGATTGCAAAGATTGCTCATGTCATGTGACCACTGCATTCATAAAGTGTCTGCTGACTCGTGACGAGGCCGATCTGCCCCGAAAACGAGCCTACTTCAGATAAAGTACGTCCACAGTTGTTGAAGCTTGCAGTTTGAATGTCACTTAGGTTTTTAACACTGAGTTTGAAGGGAAAATGACGTGAAATAACTGTGACCAAAATGTCAAATATGTTTATTTACCTGAACATTTGTGACATTCTGAGCGTTTACGGGAAATTGAGTCAACGAAAATCACAACTGTCTTTTACCTAAATATATGTATTAATTGAAGTAAGAATTACAAATCTGTACGTTTTACAGTTTTGTTTCACTTTTCATACACGATCAATCAGATAGCCAAGTAACGATTAGCCTCCGTAGCTCCAGGCTACAGGAACCTTTGAGGTTTGCTGTTGTATTTTATGAGACGCCACACAAAAAAAGGCCCCGTGCCTTGGCTCATCTCTGTGATTAATATGATTATGATGAGGAATAATAAATAAATTAAAATAAAGCAGCGAGTGATTGACGCAATATTGTACACGCGTCACACAACAGATAGACCATTATGGGATGTGTCAGGAATGTTTCATAACCGCTTCGGGTGAAAGGGAACATAACACATCATGAAAATTATTTTAAGCGTTTCGGATAATGGGTGGGAGGAAAGGCGGATGAACAAATGCCCAGTTCAAAGTTTTCTACGTAATCAAGCTGTCATCTAACCAGAAGCCTGAGAGGAGTTACTGATTTCCCACGTTTCCTGAACGCCACTGGAGGACACGCTCTGCGCTTGCGCGTAACTCGAGGAGCTAAAATAACTACTTTTTTTTTTTATATACATTTGAGCCGCCCGTCGTGTCGACGAGTGTGTCAAATTATACGCGTGTTTTATATATTTTATTTGCCTTTCTTTTGTGATGTATCCCTCCATCTGAGGACTAGTTGGCGTAGACGAGGCGACCCGTTTTTGTCGTCGTTGCAGACAGACTATGTCGACAAATAAAACAAAGAAAGTCAAAATGGCTACGAAATCTTGTCCCGAATGCGACCAACAGGTGAGCCAAAATGTCTGATTTCATAGCGTCTATTTATTATTTTTATTATTTTTTTAAGATGTATATTTCATTCCATTTCTTGGCGTTCGCTGCTTTGGCGGAAATACGTTGTGTGGTGCACACGTCCCTTTTTCTTCATTCAGCCCAGCAAATTCCAGCTCAAAACAACACTTAAAATCACATTTTGCCTGCAAACAAGTCAATGTCTTCGTCCTCTGTAACAATTAAACTATTCACATGTCTGTGTATCTACTTAGCGACAGTTAATTTGCGTCAACTATGAAGATTTGATATTTCAAATTGTTGATTCTTTGTCGTGCCTTTGTTTATAACACAAATTCCTTGAAATGTTTCTAAATTCCACACTCACGTGTACATTTGCCACCCAAAATGGGGAGTGTGTGTCTCTGTGTATATGTGCATGTATATATATTATTATTATTTTTTAAATGACATGTTTATTACTGTGGTCGTAATACTGAGGCCTGTTTCGAATGTTTTGACGATTTAGATACACGAGAGGGCCAAAATAGTAGTAGCAGCAGTTCTAAACACAAACACAGCGTTTAGCATCTTGTAAAATGTCACAAGTTAGCCAAGTAACATAAATGCAAGTGTGTAATCTACATCTCTTGGAATTTCGGATTTTATTCATACAAGATGTAGGAAAACAAATTGGGTTATTTCCAAAGTTCAAATCCAAGTTCACTCCGCAGCGTGCACTATTGCACCCATGCACACGGTGTCGCTGTGTCCTGCAAGGCCATCAGGAAGTGATGAACTTGTGCTTCCTGTTTGTTTGTTTGTTTGCTTCTCAGATTCCCGTGGCGTGCAAGTCATGCCCGTGTGGCTTCGTGTTCATCAGCAGGAAACTCCTCAACGCCAAGTTGAACGAGTGCTCGTCCACCAACGCGGCGGGTGAGTCCGTCCCGTTGCTCATCAAAACATCAGCACCGAGGCCGGCCCAATCCAACTTGTAGAGACTTAGCCGGAGTGGAAATCTTCACCGTCGCCCGGACGTTGAGCAAAAGCAACAACAGTTGACAAATTATCTCAGTTTAGTTCCAAAGTAAAAGAAGTCCTTGTTAGGTCAGTAGCAATTTGGCTAGCTCCAGAAACCTTTTGTTGTCGCAAGGCAACAGCGAAAAAGAACCATCTATTCCAAGAGTCACAAGTACCAAGCAAGTGCTACGGTAGAATGCACCAAAATTAAGCCACACCAGTAATGGGGTCATTGTGACCCGGCTTGTGTGATGGCATGGCTCGATGCCAGCAACTGTACTCTGGAACGAGGAACTACGGCAACTACTGTCTATGTTTGGTACAAGTGTAAAAAAGAAGTCCCTGTGAGGTGGGTCATGCTTTCGAGAGGTCCAAGGACCTTTGGAGTTAGGACATAAATGGCCGGGGATCGCCATTCGTAACTGGCTGGATGCTTCTAATTCCAAGAAGTACATGTAACAAGAGCTTCTAGACCCTGGAACTTTTGGTCACAGCTTTTGGAGGTTTGGATTGGAAGAACTTTCAAAGACCCTCCTTGGAGGGCATTGGGGGGCGGGGACGGATCTGTAGGACTTGTTATAGTTCCGGGATCTCAGAGAAGTGTAAAGTCCCCTAACTGTTTGTATGTGTGTTTGTGTGTCTGCAGACAAGCTGGAAAGCAAGCGTCGCCGCACGGAGCGCATCCGTCGCGATCGTCTGGACGGCAGCCTGATGTCCGTGGCGGCGAGCGACGGTGCGGAGAGCAGGAAGCAGCAGCCCAGGGGCAACGGCCAGGCCGACCCGATCCGCAGGGGACGGGGCCGACCCAAGACGGTCGGACTCAAGAAACACGAGGACGACAAAGGTGGGTGTGAGGGGGGGCGGGGTGCGTGTGCTCGCCGTGAGCCCGGTTTGTCTGCCCGTGGGTATTGACCGCCTGCGCGGGTCTGTGCGGCGCTGTGTTTCGTTTAGAGAAACAGGAGAAGGAAGTGGACGTGTACGCGGCCCTGTCGGACGAGCGGGCCTTCGTGTTCTCGGTGGCGTTGGCCGAGATCAACCGCAAGATCCTGGCTCAGACGCTCATTTTGTAAGCGCCCCGAGCGGGCGCCGGCGCGGACTTTGCCCTGACGAGGTGACCGCATCAAAAGCGGACTTTGAAATAACACTCTCCGTCTCAACTTGACTTTCCCCAGGAGGTGGGCTGGTACTCCCCACAGGGCCAGGAACCTTTGGGGTGGGGTGGGGTTCTCGCGGCTCAGTTTACGAATGAGTGAGGAGATCTTGATCCTGTTGTCTCGACAACAAGTTCCAGGTACTTTTGTTGAAAATGTAACTCCTGTTTGTGATCGGTCATCCGCTTCCAGCGCATGCAAATGCCCTCTTGGTGAGAGCACCTTTCCACCGCTGGCACCGGGAGTCCTTGAAAGCTGGGCACGATTGTTTCAGTTTGCTTCTGAGGTCAAAAGAAGACCTTCCTTCGAGAGGTCCCGGAACCTTTGGGGTGGAACTGCCGAGGAAATACAAGTTCCCGGAACTTTGGCTGGTTTGCAGGTCAGGAACGAGTGGAATTTCGAACCAGGTCTCCTGGAAGTTGACTAAAAAGAATATTCGATGCCAGTGCGATGAGATTGGGAACATAAAAGCCGCAAGTACTTCTGCTTGAAATGCAGCTCGTGTGGTTTGATTGCTTCTTAACTTCCTGCCCCCAGCTTCTCTCGAGTGCCACATCAGAAACCGAAAGGAGAAACTTTTGAGGACGAATGTGGACAGTGGTGAATATTGTCCGCATTTATTTTTGTCAGCATTTAGCCAAACTACTTCAGAACCTTTGAGGTGAACCCACCCGATTGGAACCGTTGAGTTCGAGGACCTCCAAGCACCAAGAATTGAGATGACCCGGACCTTTCGGTGGAAATCACCCAAAAGGATTTCCTTCTGAGGTCCCAGAAGTTGATTGAAAATTGGATATTTGACGCCAGCATCTCAGTCGTGAAATGCGGCTCTCGCTTGTGACCGGCCGTTGACTTGTAGCTCCACCCCCCTGCGTAAATCCCTGCCAGGCTTGGATTTGCGTGTTTACTGTGTCGTCCTCCTTGTCGCCGCCATGTCATTGACCTCTGCTGTAAAAATAAAAAAGCTTGCCGCCAAGGCCGTCGCTGTTTGACCGCTGAGTCACAGCCTCTCTCACACACACACACACACACACACACACACACACACACACACACACACACACACACACACACACACATATACGCACACACACAAACGGCACCTGTGTAAACAGTAACCACACGCACGCACAAGCTTCGAACTTTGTTACCGTGATGGTCAAGTCCAACTAAAAAAAAAAAAAAAAATTAGTCAAACTTTCACTTGTCTTGGACTCGACACAGGAGGAACAACATCACAGTGAGTTCACTTATTTATTCTGAAAAATGTGACTTTTCGACATCACGTACACAATGAAAAGGCATCGACTGGTGCTCGACAGACGAGGACCTAGAAAGTGCAAATGCAGCTCATGCGTTCATTCAGCTGTGATTAGAAGTCATGTAAATATGCATTCCACATTGAAGAAATGAAAGCCGGTATTTGTAACTCAATCAAAGGCAATTTGAGTTAAAACGGTCAGATTTGACTGAGTTGACGTTGAAGCAGATTGGGTTTTTTTCTGACGAACAAGACATACTTCTCTTTTTATTGACGTGATCTTATTGTCTCCTGTTTGTCATTCGCATTGTTGTTTTCTGAGAGACTAAACATGGTCTATTTTGTACTTAATCAAGTCAAGTACAACTTGAGGAAACAAAATGGCAAATATTCGCAGGGGGTATTTTTTTCCAAATGTTTTTTTTTTTTTTTTTTTCTGGGTGTGTGAGGAATGACCCCCGTACACGCTCGGCGCTCGTTTGCCGTTGTCGTGGCTGTCGCGGGTCACAATACCCCACTTGTTAAGATAAGGGGCCCGATAAGAATCGTCAAATAGAAAAATGTGTGACCCGACGTCTTGTGCCTTGCAGGCATGGTTGGTGGCTGCTTTCTTCTCTTCATCATCCTCCTCTCAGGTAAAAACCACGTGCCATTATGATGGAGCGGTGACATCATATTGTCACCAGTCGACCGTGTCAGCAGTGTGATGCCACAAAAGCGTCATCGGGATGTCAGTTTGTTCGTCGTCACGAGGCCGCAACGATGTCACATTGTTCCCATGACATCATCCGCCGTGTCGGCACGGTGTGTGTGTATGACGTCATCAGGATGTGACAATGATGTTCGCAGCGTGTCCTTGATGACGTGTACCCACCGACGCCGCCAGGAGGCGAGGCTTTCCTTCTCCGCTACCCGCGCTGGTCGGCCGCGTTCGGGCAAAGTCGCTCACCGCCGCCAGGTGGCGACTCACGCCCGCCAAAGGCGCAGGCAGCAAACGAACCGCACTGGTCAAAATGAAGAAGAAAAAGAAGAAGACCTCTGCAAAAACTTGAGCAGTCAGAAAGAAGTGGATAGCGGGGAGAACGAATGGACGGGGGAGCCGACCGAGGCATTACTGTATTTAAAAGTGAACGAATGAATGAATGGATTGTTGAATGGAAGGATGAGTGGTCACCACGAGAGTAAAGTTCTTCTTTCGGTGGCCAACGCGATGTTGGCTTCAGCGCGATCTCAGATCGTTCATACCACGAAAAGCTGTCGAACAACATATGTTGTTGGCACGGTAGCTGCCCCCCGATTCTGCAAATGACGGAGGCGCGCTATCATTGCTGAGGATTGACCTTTGACGTTGCTTTCAGGGTTGAGTCGAGCGTCGCCGCACGACGAGCGCTCGTCGGCGGAGAAGAAGGTGACCGTGACGGATGAACAGAGAGAATACCTGCGATGGCTTTATCGCATCGAAGATCGTAAGAACTGTCGGTCATTATGAACAAAGAAATGCAAACGGGTAGTCGGAAAACAAAATCTGACCTTTCGGTGGAAAAAGGTCATTCGAAGATGTCATGTTAGAGCAAGAGCAGAACGGACCAGAAGTCCCAAATGTTCACGCACTCTCTCAAATCTATTCCAGCGACAGTGTGGAAGTTTGTGCTGTTGGGTTTGGCCTTTGTCTGCCTTCTGGTCGGCTTTCTCTTGCTGGGAATGGGCGCCATGGCTAGCAGGTGTGCTCGTGCTCACGGAAGGCAAACGCAAACAAAGTAGCCTTGCAAACTAACGCCACAGATGTGCTTGCTCAGGAACAGGAGGAAGGTCGCCAAGTACAAGGCGGCCGCCGTCGCAGCCCATAAAGACGAAGACGAGACGTGGCCGGGAGGCCAGGATGGCGCCCTCGCCTGCGGCACGCCGTCGCCCCAGAGCCCGACGCGGCGGGGGCCTCCGCCCTGCAACGGCGACACCGGCGACGTGAAAGCGGCGAGCATCGTGGTGACGTGGAAGGACGGAAACACTTCCTGCCTGTACCCTGAGAGCGAGGCCCACGACGAGGCCGAGGTCGGGCCGCCCCTGCCGGACGACGACAAGCACCGAGTCGGGCGGGAAGTTGAAGACGAAGAGGGCGAGGTCAAGAATGGAGGAGACAGATGAACGCAAACCACAACATCGACCTTAACCTCGGACCTTTTACTTTAGTTCCTTTTAAGCAGGTGTGCATTCACATTCACCGACAGGATGATGATGACGACGACAAAGATGATTATGTGACCGCAATCATGAAAAGTAAAAGAAAAATCGGCTTGATGACTCAATTGAATATCATGTAAATAATGCGGTAAAAAAGATAAAACGGTTGCAGTTTGTTTCTGTGCGTGCTTGTGAGTGAATCCCTTTCTCCTCACCAGGGTGCTGGAGCCTATCCTAGCTGTCTTTGGGCAGTAGGCGGGGGACACCCTCAACTGGGGGCCTCCTCGTAATTCATTGGACAAAACATGAAAATAAACACCCTCCACACTGGCTTTTGGTAATGCTTGCAACATTGTAAAATTGCCACTTAGAGTCGCTGTTTTTTTTTTCAGACTGAAGCTTCTACATGTCGGTGGCGCAAAAACGAGAGACCGTATGATCGTTCAGATGCAGATTAGATATCCGATTCAATTTTTTGTTAATGAATCCAATGCGTAAATGAATGGCAATGCCGTTGAAAGGAGTGGGAAGGAGGAAAAGTCAAGGAAGTTTTTTGCGTAGTGTGAGCGCAAATCCGGATGGGGGCGCTGAATTCAGCTAAATCCGCCGACGAAGAAGAAAAAAACCCGGAAAAATGTTTGTAAACATGGCGGCGTCCGTGTCAGTCTCAGGTCTCGTCCAACTTCTGTCTTAACCTTCTCGTCACCCGCTGCGCCTTGACACCCCCGCCCGCCCCAGTAAGAGAATCGACTCGGATTTCGTCTTTCGGGGCCTCATGTGAGGATGCGGAGCGGTGGCGGGACGGCTGGGGCCGCCACGCTGGCTGTCCTCCGCCTCCGGCCCGACGGCGGCGGTTGGGCGTCCGCGGGGCGAAAAACCGAGACCCCGTGGCCGCCACGGGGCCCGCGCAGGAGCCTGTGCTCGTCCGGGCCCCCCTGGAGGCTCCTGTTCTTCGGCTCGGATCACTTCGCCGTGGAGTCTCTCAAGGTCCTCGCGGCAGACAGGTCAGGGCACTCCACATGCAGTATATATACAGTGTTCCCTCAATTGTCACGGTTCATGGGGACCGAGACCCTGTCGCGATAAGTGAAAAACCGCGATAGAGCCTTGGCTCACCCCCCCTAGGAATTGTTGTGTATGTGGGTAGAGTGCCAGCATGTTTAAAATATGTCAATAATATTTATACTTTAAATATTTGAGACAGAGACTACGGCAGTTTCACATATTGACTGAAATCTTTTATTATAAAACCCTATACAGCAATTGACATTCATCAGTATTGCCCTCTGAGAGAGACGAGACTTGTGTTGCTCTTTCTCTACGCTCTGACAGTGTAGCCGCCGTTAGCCTCTAGCTAGCAGCTGTGCAGCTGATGAAGAGAGACGTGTTGTTTTTTTCG